GTCCTGCCCTGAAGGCCTCTGTCTATGACCATTTTTTCCTTCAACCCCAATTGTTGAGAACCAATATCAGATCTCAGATTCCCAGAGCCCACCTCGCCTCGTGCTGCACTTGATGTCCCTTCAGCAGTCACAGCCAACATCTCTCCCCTTACCCATCACTCAGGTCCCAGCCCCCTGAGTCTCACAGGTGACCACTCAAGAGTCTAAGCGGCCCTAGCTGATTTGGCTCAGTGGATAGAGTGTTGTCCTGCGGAATGAAGGCTCCCAGGTTTGATTCCAGGTCAGGGCACATGTCCACGTTGTAGGCTAGATCCCCAGTAGGGGGCATGCAGGAGGGAGCTAATCAATGATTCTCTTTCACCAATGATGTTTCTATCTCTCCCTCCCTCTCCCTTGCTCTCTGAAATAAATAATTATAATAATAATACACACACACACACACACACACATACATACATACATAGTGGGGCCTTGACTTACGAATGTCCTGACTAACGAGTTCTTTGCGATACCAGCTGTCTGTCGGTCAATTTTTTGCATTGAGTTGATAGAGTAATTTGAGTTAACGAGCTCCTTAACGAGCTCGGTGTCTGAATGAAATAAACTCATAAGTCAAGGCCCCACTGTAAGTATGTGTGTGTGTGTGTGTGTGTGTAGATAGCTAGATAGATAGAGAGAGAGAGAGTCTTAGCGAATCCATAAGCTGCCTCCCCCCCCCTCCCCCGCCACACCAAGGGCCCCAACAAAATCCTGGTGAGTCTTTAGAGAAGTAAATATGTATGTACCAGCCCTGCAACCCAGGTAAGTGCCCCTGACCAGAATTGAACCCGGTACCATTCAGTCTGCAGGCTGACACTCTATCCACTGAGCCAAACCGGCCAGGGCCAACTTATCTTTTAAAGGCCTTGGCCAGCCCTGGATAGTTGGCTCAGTGGATAGGGCATCAGCCTGCAGATTGAAGGGTTCCGGGTTCTATTTCCATCAAGGGCACATGCCCCAATCGTGGGCTCCACCCCCAGTGTGGGACATGCAGGAGGCAGCAGATCAATGATTCCCTCATCATTAATGTTTCTCTCTCTCTCTCTCTCCCTCTTACTTCCTCTCTGAAATCAACAAAACAAAAATAAAAAATAAATAAAGGCCTTGGCCACTGGGAAACCATTCTCTCTCCCCAACACTCTATATGACCATGTCTGCCCCTGTGCTGTGTTGTGACACCCACCTCCCACAAACAGGGGCCCCAGCAGGAAACCAGTCCTCAGGGTCACAGTTTCCCTGTGAGCTACCACTACCATTACCTCCTGACCATGATTCCCTGTATGAAAGTGATCTACGGTCCTGGCTGATGTGGCTGAGTTGGTTGAGCATCGACCCAGGCACTGAGAGGTGGCAGGTTCCAGTCCTGGTCAGTCACAGGCCTGGGTTGTGGGCTGGACCCATAGAATGGGTTGTGCAACAGCAACAGATATGTGTTTCTTGCTCATCACTGTTTGTCTGCCTGCCTCTTCCATCCTTTCTATATTTAAAGTCAATTAAAAATGTATGTGTAGGTGCTGGGGAAAGATGTAGCAGCCTCTTCTCAGAGCCACCCCTTTGCCTCCGGACTTCTCTAGGGCCAGCACCCGATCTGGGGCCCGGGCCACGGGCTCAGCCGACTACCATGGCTCCGTGACAAACCAGCAATTTGCAGGTGGCTGCGCCAAGGCGCCAGAGGCGGCGCAGGAGGACGAGGCCCGGACGGTGGAGGAGCCGCAGCTGCTGCAGGGAGCTGGCATCTGTAAGTGGTTTAACGTGTGCGTGGGGTTCGGCTTCCTGTCCATGACTGCCCGCGCGGGGGTTGCGTTTGACCCACCCGTGGATGTCTTTGTGCACCAGAGTAAACTGTACATGGGGGACTTCCGGAGCCTGGAGGGTGAGGCAGTGGAGTTCACCTTTAAGAAGTCTGCTAAGGACCTGGAATCTATCCGAGTTACTGGCCCTGGTGGGGTGTTCTGTATTTGGGAGTGAAAGGCGGCCGAAGGGAAGGACATGCAGAAGCGCAGATCAAAGGGAGACAGGTGCTACAACTGTGGAGGTCTAGACCAGTGATGGCGAACCTCTGACACCTCTGACACGCGAACTCATTTTTTTGGTTGATTTTTCTTTGTTAAATGGCATTTAAATATATAAATAAATATCAAAAATATAAGTCTTTGTTTTACTATGGTTGCAAATATCAAAAAATTTCTATATGTGACACGGCACCAGA